AGGGCCCAAGGTTAGCTGAGTGTGAAGTGCTGGGCACAAAGGTCGTCCTGTCGGCCCAGCAGGCCCTGGGCCGGGATGAATTCCAGCGGCACCGCCTCGGACCCTTTCTTCAGGTCCCGCTCGAAGATCTGCAAGGGACAGTGGATTGATGCCAGCCCACTTGGGGGTTCCCTGTGCCCCAGCTCCTTCCCCCACAGCCCCGGCCGCGCCCTCACCTCGAAGGCAGTGAGCTCCAGGAGGGGAGCGATGCTGACCTCGGGCACAGACAGCACCTGGTTGATGACGCTGGCGGCCTTGGACACCTCAGGGTGGTAATGCCGCTGCAGGGCCTGGAAGGGCATGCGGCCGTCACCACCCTCCATGGGCTGTCTCACTTCCCAGCTGCTTGAGTTGGGGACAGAGTGGTGACTCCGGACAGAGGCCTGGGTTCCCCCAGGTAGCCAGGGTGCCAGGGAGCAGCAGGGGCACCCAGGGGTGGGGAAGAAGAAGCTACTGCATCAGAGGAACAGGCACGTGGGCAGCTTGATGGAGCAGGACAGGACCGGGGGCAGCTGTGCACCCTCACCTGCAGCTCCCACAGGGAGCTCTCCAGGGCTCGGCTCTTGGCTGGGTCCTCCTGGTCGGGGTCATAGGGATCAGCATCCATCTCTAGGAACAAGACCCAGATGTGGTCTGCCACCTGTGCCCACATCGGCCTGTGAGGCCAGGCTTTCAGACTCCAGGGTCGCACACTCACCAGAGCCCCGTGGCCGGTGCACGAGGACACGGCAAGCTGGGTGTCTGCGCAGCAGGTTGCAGATGAAGGGCAGAACCATGAGCAGGGCCTCGGGGGGCGCGGTCAGGGCCAGGCGGGAGAGGCGTTTGGCGAAGGCAGCCACGAGGTAGGCGGGCAGATGGCTGGGCAGGAAGGCAGGCATGAGACCCCACATCCCTCACACCAGCCCCTTCTGAGCCCATTGCAGCCCTGTGGGGACCAGCTGAGATCCAGGAAGGGACGGGGGCCCTGTGGCCATGAGGGAGGCCAGAGCCTCACCCCTCCCAGATACTCACGAGGAAGAGAGGAAGAGGTCGGCCAGATGGAAGAAGCGAGCCCGGTACTTGACGTGGAAGACGGACGGGTCCAGGAGACTGTAGAGCTTCTGGTAGAAGTCGGGATACTCCCTGGGGGTGTGGGAGTGAACCAGGAAACAGGGCACATGGGGAACAGGTGAGGAGGGCATACACATCGGGGGGAACCACAGCCCCCAGCTGCTCAGCACCCTCCTCTCCTTTTTCCCAGTAGCTCCCCAAAGCCTCCTGACCCCTGGGCAGAGCAGGGCTGGTCTGGGGCAGGGAAGGGCCTGCACCCTCCCCAGGTTGACACTCACAGGTTGTGCTTGTGAATCAGGATAAAAAGTCCATTCAAGGCCAGGAGGCTGACGGCACCCCCTGCGGACAGACACACAACTGTGGAGCCCCAGCCCAACCTGCACCCCCACCCCGGAGACAAGTCCAGAAGAGCTGGAGGCCTCACACCAGGATACCAGAGCCAGCTGCCCACAGGCCCACCTGCCCTCCCCCTAGCACATGTCCCTGCCTAGCAGGGCATTGGTCACAGCACCTCTGGGTGATCCCTGCTCACCAATGTCATAGGCGCGGGTGAGGAAGTCGATCATGAGGCTGGGCTGGGCCAGGTGAGGCAGAATGGAGTCGTGCATGATCACCAGCACCTTCTTGCAGAGGCTGAGGGGCAGCTGGGGGGAGGAGCAGGTCAGGGTGCAGCCTGCCCCATGGCGCACACCACACAGGCCAGGGGCCCAGACCTGGCCCTGGGTCCGCTGCTCCCACCAGGCCCTACCTTGTGCTTGAGGAAGCCAAGCCACATCAGCTGGAAGGTCCTCCTGTGCTCCTGTGGGGGAGGGAGGGGTCCAGGTTGCACTCGCGGCCCCCACCAGGTCCTCCCCCATCCTTCCCAATCCCACCCTGCCCTCTTCCTGCCACATGTAAGTTGGAGCACCCAGGGCCCAAACCCAGGAAACTGCCCAGGTGAGAAGAAACATCCTGCCTCCTGAGAAGCCAAAGCAGACAGGTGCTCTGTCCACAAGCACCCTTAGCTTATTGGTGACATGTGACGCCCTGGGCGCGCCTTGGACCTCCTCTCCCCCTGGGATCCCCAGGGGGTTTTCTAAGCTGGGAAGGAGGCAGCTGGCCCTCTCCCCATGTCCCCGAGTCTAGGGAGAAGCAACACCCCAGGACAGGGCCTGTTCCCAGGGAGACCACCCCCCCCTCCCGAGTGTCTCACCTTCAGATGAGTGACTTTCCACTTATCTGACAACTCTGCAAGAGAGAAGGGAGGGAGACAGTGGCTCGTGAGGCTGTGAGGGTACAGGGCCCAGGTGCCCCCGCCTGCCCACCCACCAGCCAGCCCTGGACGCTCACCTGTGCGCTTCACATAGAAGTTAGAGATGTCGCTCTCTTGGCGGGGCAGGCTCACGCCAGACATCAGTGTGAAGGTGTTGTTCCAAAAAGTGAGGGGCACCTGCGGGAGGCCTGGCCTAGCACCTGGGCTCCACATGTCTGCTCCCCACCCCTCCCCCAGGTATGGGGCCCCACCAGCTCACCTCTGGGTGCCCGTTGGTGACCCGAGCCACAGTGTCTGCGGCCGCCTGCATTGTGTGGTAGCGGATGTCGTCGTAATCCAGATACTCCCGGAACTGGGAGAGCAGCAGTGAGCAGTCCTCTTCCAGGGAAAGCAGGGCTTCCACCACCACCTGGGTGAGGGGCAGGCAGGTGGGTGCCTCTCCATCCTACCACCAGCCAGTCCAGAGGCCGAGCACACATGGCAGAGTCCCACAACCAATGGACGGCCCCAGGAGACCCCCAGCCAACAGTATACCTCTCCCACAGCTAGATGCAGCAGAGAATCCTGCCCAATAACTGCCCATCCTGGCTCTGGCCACTGACGTCCGCCAGGACCCCATGCGCCCCTCACCTTGAAGAGCTGGCGGGGGAACAGGTAGTTGCCCTCCCACTTGGGTTTCTCCAGGGGGTACGCTCCTTCCAGCTGCACAAACTTCATGAGTGTACTAAGGGCCAGCTCCTAGGGAGAGGGTAGCAGAGTGGCTGCTGTGCCCCAACAACACATCACCCTCCCCTGAGAACTGGCCCACAGGGCTCCCCTCAGCACTTAGGCCTGACTGTTCACAGGAAAAGTCAAGAGACAGGACGGAACCACCCACCAGAAAACCAGCCAACAAAGAAAGCAAGTGCAGAAAGACAAGTGCCCATGGCGCAGCCCTGGTCTCTTCTGTGTGTAGAGATGCTCCAGGTTAGGGTACAGGGAACACGTAGGCCAGGAACCCCAACACTCACCTTAACCTGAAACGAAGGGTGGGTCAGGAGCTCCGCCAGGCGGTTGCAGCAGCTCTGGTAACGGTGCCTCATCCACACCTTGTACTTCCGTGTGGCCCCCTGGGACCCTGCCAGCGAGGGAGGGTGGTCAGCCCACGTCCATGCCCACTGCTCTCTGCTCAACCCAGCCAGGGAAGTGAGTGGAAACCGTGGCCCCAGACCTGGGGTGGGCCCAGCATATCTCCTAAGCCAGGGAGAGGAGCTCCTACCCGAAGGGCAGGGCCCCCATCCTCTTTCCCACAAGCCCTGGGACCAAGTCAGGGCAAGTAGCCCCAACTTCGTGTGGTACAGAACAGTAAATGCTAAACAAGTCCCATGTTTTGGGTGGTGGGCACATAGTGCAACATACAGACCTTGTAACCTAGAAACACCTGTGAAAGCTAAACGATCATACATACTAGCCAACGTCACCCCAATAAGTTTAATAAAAAAAGGAAACATAAGTAAACACGTCCCACAGGTAGCACAAAATACACACAGAACTCATGCTGCCTTCAGCCTTCATTAAGTCCATTTTGCCCCACCGCCCCCAAACATCCCCACGGTGGGCTTGGTGCCCTCCTGCCAACTGCGCTGCGATGAAGGTTGTTTTTCAGGGGGCGCCTCGTCCCACGTTGACAAGGTCTCCCTGCAACCTCGCCAGAGACGGGCCTCGGGCCCCCAGGCCACTCACCTGCCATGACGGTGTCCTCCGGGGGCAGTTGGCCCACAAACAGCTCACCCCGCTCCAGCAAGGCCCCGAAAAGGCGGCTGCAAGCGCGCACCGCATCCTGGGTCTCCTCCTGGTCCTCCGACTGCGGGGAGAGGCCGGTCGCACGGTGCCCCGCGGGGAACTGGGGCCCTACCCGCTTTCCCCACCGCGACTCCAGCCCCATCGAACCCCAACCTGGACCCCGGCGGGACTCGCCACCCCGCTTCCGCCAAACCTCCCACGGGACCTCCGGTCGGGGCGCCCGGCGGGACGAGAGACGGCCCCCCAGGTACATCCCGGGCCCTGCCTTGCAGCTGGAGCCGCAGTGCG